TTTGAAAGAAGTCTCTTATGTTCACCAAGGTTGCATTTATTTGATCAAAAATACAGCAAAAACATAAATATTGTGAAATACTATTACAATTTAATATAACTGTTTTCTGTTTTAATATATTTTAAAGTGTAATTTATTCCTGGGATGGAAAAGCTGAAATTTCAGCAGCCATTACTCCAGTGTTTAGTGTCACATGACCCTTTAGAAACCATTCTAATATGCTGAAAACAATTGTGCTGCTTAATAGTTTTGTGGAAACAATTATACATTTTTTCAGGTTTCTTAGATGAATAGAAAGCTGAAAAGAAGAATATTTATTTGAAATAGAAATCATTTGTAACATTATAAAAGTCTTTACTGTCACTTTTGATCAATTTAATGCATCACTGATGAACAAAAGTAATCAATTCATTTTTTTTTAATATCTTACTGACCGCAAAATCTTGCATGGCAGTGTACATGTCTCAACAAATTAAAATCAAATTCTAAAATCAAAATGCACTAGGCAAAATAGAGAAAGAAACATACAGCTACCATCAGCTACAAATCAGTGTGTAGCATGTGACTATAACACAACACATTTAGTGCTATTAGTGCCGTGCTTTTGTGAGAAGTAATATTCATTAGTTATTTCTCCTGACTTACTGTGTGCTCTGTAGGACGGTCTGTGCAAGCACAGGATTGGTTTCCATGGAAGCGGTGACGAGCGACGTGAGGAGAGACAGATACCATATAGCCGAGGCGTCGGATACCGAAACCTCTTTACTCTTGGTGATCTGGTAGCCCATTGTCTTCAGACCATGAATACGTGTGTCACAGCCATCGCTGAGGCAGCGCTTGATGTTTATCTGAATAACTGAGAGACAAAAGGAAGATCAGTGTAAGTTTACAAGAGCTTTCTGACTAGTATATACTTGGAATAAACAGAAATTACAGTCACTCTTTACATTCCGCTCACAGTCTGCAAATTCTATGCACACCTATCGTTCAAAAGGTTGGGGAATAGTACGATTTTTTTTTAAAGATGTCAATACTTGTATTCAGTAAGGATGCATTAAATTGATCAAAAGTGACAGTAGAGACATTTATAATGTCACAAAAGGTTTCTATTTCAAATAAATGTGGTTCTTTTGAATCTACTATTCATAAAGGATCTTGGGAAAAAAATGTATTACAGTCTCCACAAAAATATTAAGCAGAACAACATATTTCAACACTGATAATAGTAATAATAAGAAGAAATGATTGTTGAGCAACAAATCAGCATTTTAGAATGCTTTCTGAAGGATCATGTGACACTGAAGACTGTAGAGTAATGGCTGCTGAAAATCAACTTTACCATCACAGGAATAAATAACATTAAACAAACAAAATATATTAAAATAGAAAAAATATTTTAAATTGTAATAATATTTCACAACATTAGTGGCTTTATTGTATTTTTTATCAAATAAATGCAGCCTTGGCGAATATAAAAGACTTCTTTCAAAATCCCCAAACTTTTGAATAGTAGTGTACAAATTAAAATAGGGCTGCAACAACTAATCGATCAAATCGATTATTATCGATTATGAAAATCATCGACAACGATTCTCATTATCGATTAGTCGGGTCTGCCCACAGTGCACGTCCAACTTCAGCCGGTCTGACAAAGCACTGAATGACGCATTTCTATGGACAAAATGCATCTAAAAATAGTGGAGGAAACATAATGCGATACTGTGGGAGAGTTACGTGATCCAATGCCCTGTCAGGCGCTTATACAGATGATGCGTGTGCGTCCTCAGCGCAAAAACTTTCAGTTTACGGTCATATCCTTGTGTATAAATGTCACAAATTCACGCGAGCATTTCCATTTCCTTCCTGACAGTCTGTGTCGAGATTTATTCATTACTTAATGAGCGGCGGCCGCGTGCACGGGCGTCAGACAAACGGAAAACACAAAAACATTTATTGTGCTGAAATATATCTGTTGTTGAAAGTTAAATTAAGGTTTAAATGTCAACATGCATTGCGAGTATTTTATGAGAGTAGGAACTGTAAGGGGATGACAGCATGTATTTAGGAATAAGGTTTTTAACAAATTATGGTTTGTGCCACTGCAGCTCTAAACTAACAGTACTGGTGATTAACAAAATTATTTTTTCGCTTTCTGTATTGGTTAGTCCTCCAATATGCGTAAGCTCTTTAGTAACAGTAGTAGGCTATTTCTAATGCTATAATATAATTAGTGCTGTTATCTATGAAAGAAAGACAGAGAGCTTTAAAGTGTTTTTTTTTTCAGATACCCAATTACAGTCAAAAAGTACATAAACAATGCCAGCAAGAATGCAAGCTGTTATATGAAGGGCATAGGAGGCCATTTTTTTAATGTGAATAAATACAATTTAGTTGTTTAAGTTTATTTGCCCAATAAATTACTATACATTTTTTTGATTTAAACAATTTTTTGACAGATTCCTAAAATGTGTTTTCTCTTAATTACGGCAGGAGGTCTAATAAATTGTTAAGCACCATATGTTTTCATAGCATAGCATTTGTTTGAAGGACATTGGGCAGAATGTGGAATAGTGTGTTTTTGTCAATAAAATAAAAAATATATTTAAAAAAAAAAATCTGATTAATCGGAAAAATAAAAATAAAACAATAATAATCACCAACTAATCGATTATCAAAATAATCGTTAGTTGCAGCCCTAAATTCAAACTTCAAACAGAAAATTCTGCTGTACAAGTGTGTTGCTCACAAGGATGGCTGATGTTGGCGTTATCCAGTAGCGGTACGTAACCCGTGACGTTACTGGGGATCCTCACATCTCTGATCTCCTGCAGGGAGCGCCGGTTCTTTCCTACAGCTATAGACACCAGCTGTGGCATGTAGCTGTGGTCATTAGATGCTACCGCAATGGCCAGCCGTCTCAAAACTATGTCTGGCTTCAGTTTTAACCTGTGAAAGTGGTGAGTCAGAGGAAGTGGTAATATTTAACTAATTATTTAGCGAAGGCAATGGAATGTGTTGCATCATCAGCTATAATTTAATTCCATGTAGATGCACCAATGAAATGGACAGCTTGCCTTATCCAGTGTGAGCGAGCACTACCGTCCGACTGCCAGAAAGACACTGTCTCACCATTGGTCATCTTGTTGATATCTGCACTATTGGATGAAGCCTCGATGAAGCTGTAGCACTGGGTGACCACCTTAACTTTATCCACATCTGGGTCATGATTGAGCTCCGCTCTGTACTGGATGTCTAGATCTGAGAGGACAGCCAGCAGAATATGAATATGAAGAACAAAGGAAATGTTCTCATATATTATCCACAGTAAACTGCACCTCTAGCAGCACAAAATGGAAACGGATTTTTATTTAATTATTCTTTCCAATTGAGTGCTGCAGGAATAATGAGCCCTATAACTAGCAGAAAACTTCTGGTTCCATCGTCCCAAAGTCAATGAGTGTTTTGAATGGGGTATTGATTAATGGCACAACATGTAGGATATTTTTATTAAAATATCTAAAAACCACTGGAACAGTGTTATATGTTTTGCTGACTTGTGTACTTACATTATCCCAAATGTTTCGAAGAATGTTTAAATCCAGAGAAATAAGCAATTTTAACTAGTGACGTGGACCGTGTCTATAGTGTCATTGTGTCGCCTGCCAATGACGTTATACATCCTCGATTTCTAGTTTTGTTTTGTAGAAAACATGGAAACACCAAAGACGCTTTAATGTTGTGCATTTGATAGACCGGTGACGACCGCACAGAGTAGCATTATAATATATATGTTCAAATGTATCTAGTATGATAAAACAGCGCTGCTTTTTTCCCCCACATACGCACGACCGGAAGGAGTGGAAGCGGTCGACTGTGGCATAATAAAAGCTCTGCTGCTTTCGAGCCGTGTGTCGCGCTCGTTCAGCGGCCACGTTTCGCTTCGACGCCTTTCAGCCTCACCCTGCTTCATTCTACTACGTTAATAAATCATTAGCTCATCCATGAACATGATTTCTGCCCGAGTCCCGTCGGATTGCATCGGCTGTGGGGATGAAGACGACAACTCCCATGATTCCACACTCAGTCACAGCGTCATCAAACTACGCCTTTGTCTCTTTGTTTATTTTGAATATGCGCCCTCTAGCGGCGAAAAAATGACATATTGTGCCTTTGAATGTCTGAAATAAGGTCTGTGATTAACACAACCTTAATATATTTTCAAGTTTTACTGTACGAATTAAAATACATCAGTATACCTGTTTTGTTTTAAAGATTTTATGCATTTTGAGTAGTGGTCGACCGATATTGGTTTTTTGACAGCCAATGCCGATATCTTTGAAAGCAGGGTGTGCGATATAATTTTATTTATTTTAATTGATGTTTAAGAAATTTGAAATCATTTGAAAATGGATTAAAAAGTTAATGTGTTAAATAAACATACTTATACTTTAGATGACATAGTATTTTTCACAAATAAATAAATATTTATTAATAATATAATAAAAAAAGGAAGTAAACACTGTAACCAACAGGGCACTCAGTATTCTGGGAAGTTTGTGTGCATTGGGATTTGGGAATCATATTTTTTTCAAATAAAGCCAAGGTAACACTCATTTTACATACAGCACACAGTGGAAAAGACATGAATGCATAAAGAGGGCAAATGCATAAAGCGCAGCATATTTTGAAATCACGAGTTTAAAGTTTGTCGATCGCGTATCTCCAGTGAAGCTGAACTCTCCTCCAGTCAGGATTCAATTCACACGGACCGATCGTCACGCAGAGAACACATGCAGGATACACATGCACACTTCACAAGATCTCACAACTGGATCCGACTAAGTTTGCAAGGTTTGTGAAATGAAATATTCATTAGTCATTCAAAGATTTGTTTAAATTATATAAATGCACATTTGCTGAATGCTGATGGCAAACAAAAAAGTATTATAATGTTTGCCTTTCTATTAGTAATAATATAAAAGCAATCGTTATAATACTTTTTGTATACATTTTAATTCCTTTGTTTAACCATTATATCTGATTATTAGGCAGACTTCTATCCGTATTAGACAGAACTGTTAACGACAACAGCGAACAAGAGGGAAAAAGAATGTTTAAAAATGTTTAAAAGAAGAAAGAAATTCATAGGTTTGGGACAATTGAGTATTATTATTGGATGAACTATCCATTTAAGAACCCTGACACACATACATTCATGTATCATTTTTTTTGCATTTCTGTTTGGCTCACTGTGTGCTCAGGCGCTGCCGTTGTCAGCACCGTCAAAATAAAAGTCCCGCCTCGAACGCATCGGCCAAACAGAAACTTATCGCCCAATGCCGATATTTTAAAAAAGCCAAATATCGGCAGATATATCAGCCTTGGTAATATATCGGTCGATTACTAATTTTGAGTTGCTAATAAGTGGCTAAATGGGACTACAGAGGTCGTTGAGGACATTATATGTCATCAAACAGGAAAACTCATCTACTCATTAGTTTGCTTTCACAGTCGCGTTGCGTTTATACTCGCACTCCTGCAAACTAACAAACTCAAACTTTCCAACTTGTAGATTTTAAATTAAGATTGAAAGCATTGTTAGAAGTTTAGTGGTGGTGATGTTGAAGTCATACAACTGTGATGTAGATTGTTTACAGCCTAACTTTAGCTTTTTACTTTGGTGAGTGCATTTAGGCTTCAAAGTCGTGGCCTAACGGTTAGAGAGTTGGACAAAGGTCATGGGTTCGAGTCTCGGTACCGGCAGAGATTGTAGGTGGGGGAAGTGAATGTACAGCTCTCTCTTCCACCTGCAATATCACGACTGAGGTGAGACCCTTGACCAGGCCACCGAACCTCAAACTGCTCCCCGGGCGCATCGGCAAAAAAATGGCTGCCCACTGCTTCGGGTGTGTGTTCACGGTGTGTGTGTGTGTGTTCGCTACTCACTGCTGTGTGTGTGCAGTTGGATGGGATAAATGCAGAGCACAAATTTCTGAGAATGGGACACCATATACTTGGCACCGTCACTGTCACTTTAAAAATGAATGAAATCTGTGTTCATTTGTAAAGATTATCTTGATAAACAAAAGTGCACTATAGTGAGAGTTCTTAAATCACCCTTCTTTGGCCTTGAACCTACAACCTCTCAGTTACCAGCCGAGACTTGGCATGAACCACTAGGCTACAGCAGGTCATTGCTCATCTGAGTGACATGTCTCATCACCTCCTCGCACTCATCTCTGGGCGCGTCTCTGCTCTCCAGCATCTCACAGAACTGCTCCAGTGTGACGGACTCCTCTCCGCGGCTTAGCCGCTCCTCCAGCCAGCGCACCAGAGCGCTCTCGTTGCGCGCCAGCACCGACTCCGAAATGGCGACCCATGAGTCGCTCATACGGGCCGCTGCCTCTCGCAGCTTCACCTGCTCCAGCAGAGCTGCAGGAGTGGGGAGTCCATAGCTCGGGGCCGGCGGGTTCGCAGAACCTCTTCCGCTTCTCCCCGGACCGGAGCCTGCCGCGACTCCTTCTCCACCACCTCCGCCGCCGCCGCCACCACCACCACCTCCGCTGCCGGCCCTGTTGCCTGTGGCCGCGGAGGCCGGGCTGCCCTCAGCGAACACGGGACTCTCCGTTTCTACGTCCTCCTCGTCGCCGCTCCCAGCGCCACATCCTCCCTCCGCGTTTCCCATGGTGTTCTGCGGCTTCGGGCTCTCTTCCGATTGCCTCGAACCCAGGTTTCAAGCTAAGTTTTAGTGTCAGGGTTGATTAGTTCAGGGTGCTTTTCCCGTCCGCGCGTTCCTCCGCTGTCTCTACCGCATTAACTGACGTCATGTTTGTCAGCAAAAAACCAAACTTTGGTCCTTCCGTGAGCTCAGCGACGCCCGCTGCGCTGCCCCCTAGCGTCCACCGCCAGTACTCGCAAATCACGGTGTCAAATTATAACATTTTTGTAACGTAAATGATGTAATTTTTTTAATGTTGGACGGGAAATAAATAAATATGTGCTCATATCTGAAGTTGACGTTCAGTGATGATGTCAGTTTGTAGGTCACCTGGAAAGCTAATTCTTAATATATAAAAAATGATAAATAAATTTTGTATTAATAACAAAGTTATTGGAAAGCTGAACATTTCATTTGCATGTGAATTCTGTAGACTGGAAAAGGCACTTGTTTTAAAATAGTATTTGTATTTAATATTTAGAAACCTACATTAAAAGAACACTGGGGTGTGTGATAGAAATATGTGTATTTGATGTGATTTTTTTTCTCAGAATGACATTTTGGAATATGAATAATAATAATACAATGGCAATACATTGCATTTGCTTATTTTGTTAGGAAAATACCACATACATAAAAAGAATGGTCTCTTTGAAAACTACATTTCTTACCTTTTATAAATAACTTACAATTATACATAAACCTTTTGGAACAATCTAAAAACAAACAAATAAAAATCTGTAAACATGTAAAGTTTTAAAAAGCACTGAAATGTATGTAACTTCTGTTTTCTAGCAACTTCTGTTGTTAATGATGTGACCATGTAATAACTCTTGTTCTTGTGGCACTTATTAAAAAAAGATTCATTATTTGAAACACTTGAAATTTCAGTTGGCAAATGAGCAAAATCTCATACATTTACAAACAGAATTTCATAGCCTTATTCTGAGAGTAACCAGGCCATACTTTGACAGCTTTACGTTCTTTCAGAGATAGAGAGAGAGAGAGAGAGAGAGAGAGAGAGAGAGAGAGAGATTTGAAAGCAGCAGGGGCTGGCGGGTTAAACGACTAGTGGCAGCTGATACATAAAAATGTATAATAATAATACAATTGTGGGATCTTTGCATCATCATTAAAAAAAAACAAAAAAAATAATTTCATTGTTCGTTTCGGTCTGAGCTGTATCCCTTCTAGCCACAACCGGGCTGGCGCTCTCTCTGGCAGCGGCAGGTCGCAGCGCCACTCCCGGAGGCATCCCCAGCTGCCACTAGTCGTTTCTAGTCGTTTCTAGCAGCTGCCAGAGGTCTTGCTCGCCGTTTCTGCTGTTTGCTCGGTAAAACTACACTGTTCTCAGTGGCGTGCGGTGGATTTTTATGTATCAGCTGCCAGAGCTCTTGCCAGAAGTCAAAGGCAGCTGCCACGGTTTTTCTCGCCGTTTCTGCAGTTTGTATGGTTTCTGTACTGCAATAAATGCTGTCAAGTAACCCTGAATTGTTCGTATACCTGGAGATAATTTAAAAAAATATATATTTTTAAATCACCTTTCAGCTTGTATTTTCCTAATACATTTGCGCATGCGCTGTCCAACACAGCACAACATGTTGACAAATGTGATATTGTTGATAACGATGTGTTGTTCGATACGGAGTGCCATTGCTGTTTATTCTCGTCTATGTACATTGTCTTCGCACAATGCTGAAATATTTGGTAGCTCTTATTTCAATATTCCTGGCCGTATGGACAGTGCCCGAGTGGCTCACATTCTCGATCTATGGCAATGTTGTGAATGTGCAGCAGGTCAGTAACGTGCGAGCGTCTGCACCGGTTCGCATGCTGACCGAAGATGAGCTGTCTTTATACAACGGAGGAGAGAACAGTAAAGGATTGTACCTGGCGATCTTAGGACAGGTGTTTGACGTTGAAAAGAGGAGCAAACATTACGGGCCTGGCGGCGGTTATCATTTCTTTACAGGTTAGTTCACTATGCAATTTACAGGCCAGATTTGGAGTGATGCTAACGCATAGAGATTGCTGAAATCTGTGAAGTTCGTGCAGGGAAAGACGCCTCAAGGGCGTTTATTACAGGTGATCTCACGGAGGCTGGCTTAACTAGCGATGTCTCGGATTTCACTGACTCACAGATTGTGGCTCTGTGTCATTTGATCAGAGGGCTACACTCCAGTGGGTGGGTACCAAATGACGTTCGGTGACCATTTTCATAGCAAGTTTCTAGCTATTTTACGATTTCTTGCAGAATTTTTGAAAGAAAATACATTTTATTTTCAGATTTATAATTTGAAGAACTTAAAATGCTTGTAAGACTCTTCTATGGTGTAATAATTGTATGAATGTCTTTATGCTTTTAAGTCCCATTGTTAAAAAAATAATCATTTATAATAATATTTTACCTACAAATAAAAACTGTCATGAACAGGTGAGTAAATGATGACAGATTTTTAATTGCAGGGTGAACTGTCCCTTTAAGGGCTCTCTCCTCTCCATGGCCCATGTGCTGCAGGTAAACTGACTGGCCAATTCTACACAGAAAGCGGGCAGTCCACTGACGCTTTGCTACATGCGGAGGCTTTCTTGACTGAGGGGTTGAAGAAAAAGGCCCAAGCTCAGAGTGAGATGCAGCTGTACCCAGCCTGTAACTCGGGAGTGGAGCGAAGCCAGTGAGGGACGAGTATGGTGCTCTACAATGAGTTTTTTTTTTGGACTTTTTAATCTACCAATGCTTTGGACAACATTTGCTATATTTCCTGGAAAAAATGTAACACAAATTACATTTTTTTTGCAGTGGTGGCATTCACAGAGACTGGATTGGAGTACCCAGAATGCTTTTCTCACCTGGGTCTGGCCACTCTGGGTCAGGACTGTCAGATCCTGTTCACGCTGAGAACCGAAACCTCAGAGGGTACAAAGACTGTCCTCCTCATGCAGAGTCCTGCCGTATCACTAAAGACTGAGCTGCATGTCTTCGTCACACTATGAGTGTCACTGTATTTCATTTGGTTTTTAAGGACTCTTCATCACTTTCTTCAGTGAGATAATGTTTATAGAGATGTTTTTTTTTTTGATGGGTTTAACTTTGTTACAGGCACATGCTACGTGAATGCTGCTGCTTGCTATTTATATAGCTATGTTTCTAATTTAATTGCTTCTCTGATTTAGATTTCACTTCTAATTTCATTGCAGTTTGTAGCCAAGTATATTGCTTATGCCATAAAATCAAGATTGTTAATTAAATAAGACAATTTTTTAGATTTTTTTTTTAATTGTCCTTTATGTAAAGTTGTCCTCCCTTTCTTGAAAAGGATACTAGAGGCGGCGACAGGCTAAATATCTGAGCATACAGATACCATACAATGTGCAGAAAGATTAAACGGAGGCCAAATCGTAGGTTTGTCACATAGACAAAAAAGCACAACCTGCATTAAGTACAAAACAGTTGTAGTGGTCAAAAATATCATACATTTATCTGTACAATTTAACAATAGCAATAACAGACTGTGGACATGGCCATCCCCCCAAACAAATCAAAAACTCAATCTTCCTTTGAAATATGAAATGTATCAGAAATGTAAAAAAACGTTGATAAAGTGCACCTGTTAAGCATGGACATGAAAAAGCATTTAAAAATGATAGGTCAACATAATGCGATGCGTTACGCCACCAAAAAGACTTTTGAAAGAGTTCTCGAAAACAACGATCAAGCGAGCAGCTCCCCCAGCGCTAGCTTGCAGAGCAAATGTTAACTGGAATGTATCCTTTGGTGATCAGAAATGAATAAAGTGTGATTATGATGCAATGATGACTAACAATAGGCTACAGATGATGTCATGCATATGCATAGTAACTAAGTATATCAGAATTCCGAACTTGTATTTCTGCACCTGTCTAGCTTAATAGAATCACAAGAAACGATTTGAAATCCACATCTGAAGTGTTTCTCAAATTTTAGTATGATGTAAACTAATGGATCGGTTAAAATAAAGTCCACTGAATATGCAGATTAATAAATGATTAAGTTTACTAATATTACTAAGAACACAACATTAACCAAGCAAGGTACATTTCTCCATCTCTTTCTTTTGATTTGAACTCCAGAGAAAGAGAAATGTCCTTCCACAGAGGTTAAAATGTGTTAAAAACCTCAATACAACAACTGAAAGACCCTGCACAGTATGATTAAGGCTTCACACTACTTAAACATGGCTACCTTTCACAGATGCCTTCATATCCAGCAGCATTTCACACCAAACAAACTTCCTTGAAATGTTCACAAGACGCTGCATCTACCTCCAACTGGGTTCGAACTATCTGTAAAAAAAAGTCAAGTCAATTCAAGTAGGCCTACTGATGGCATGATTGCATGTTCAGTCATGCATTAGACTCATCATACTTATGGAAAATGAAGTACTAATAATAATCATATAGTGTCCATATAGCACATTAGCCCTGTCAAAAACCCCTATGGATCTTTTTTAGTAGTAAATAACAGTTGCCCTTCTCATATCACACTTGGTTTTTGCCAAAAGCTGAACTTCGGAACTACAATTTTCATTTGCATCTGCATTCCACAAGTTTTAATCTGGATCCTCGACACATAATAGTTTGGTTCTAAAATGTACTGCTAGAACAAACACACTTGTTATGGTTGTATTTTTTCCTTTGACAAGAATGGAATGGTTTTGTTCAAGGGCTCCTCCTCTCTTTGTGTCTTACTCCATTTCTTCATCCTCCCAGGCCCAGCCCGTAGGTTCACGGTCAGCTCGGCTGGTGCCCGTCTGCCCGTGCTTCTCCAGTCCATTAGGACACGCCACCCAATGTCAGCACATCAAAGCAGATGTCGCATACACGCACAGGTTTGTTCAGGTCAAATTTGATGATGGGGATCTCCTTTATAGAGCACTTATGGCAGAGCAGACGCCCACAATGGCGGCTAAGAGAGAAAGAAAAAGACAATAAAAGACTGAGTTATTAGGTAACAGGACATAGGGAAGATGACAAAAAGTGAACATCATTATAAATGGAGTTATGAATGAGAAAAAAGGGTGAATTCACAAAGGTCTTTATAGCGGTAAACAGACTGAACACTGTATATTGCCTACATACCAGTGATGTTTCCTGGTGGTGACTCCAAATTTGGTCATACATTCATAACAGTTTGAACCATCACACCACGGGGGCTCTTTGGATAGCATATCTGAACCGTTCAAAACGTGATACATAAGACTAGTTATATATAACTACTACCAGCATTGTAAATGTCTTAGAAACACTAAACCTGTATCACTTACCTAGTAGACGGAACAGAAGCTGCTTAGTGGCAACTTGATAGTTGAAGATGTTGATGCCCTGGTTGTTATTGACGCCAAGTCGAGCTCCAGCCCTCACAATGGCACGACACAGGTTAGCGTTTCCTTTCATGTATGCCAACAGAAGCACTGCAAGGAGAAAAACATCAACTATCACTGAAAAAAAACAATATGGCATGATTGCTATTATTAAGGAAAATGATCTATTTAAAAATGCATATTCAGTATAATTGGTAGTCCTTCACCAACCTGTGTACCCTTCATTGTCGGGTTTATCCAGGGGATACTCAGGCATGCATTCCAAAAACAGCTCAAAGATGGCTGCTGCGTTCTCCTTCCCATACTGGCCAAGGACATGCATGGGAGATTGACCTCTATAGATAAGAAAAGAGGGCAAAACTATTAAAGTTAGTGAACGTCAATGAATATTGCACATTTTGTGTGTGTGTGTTTTTTTTTTATACATTTGTGGAGTAAGATATTCTGAGCCAAACCTGAGATTAAAGGCCTCTGCATCTATGTTGGACTCGGTGAGTAGAGCACGCACATTATTCAGACGCCCCTGCATCACGGCCAGATGAAGTGCTATTAGTAGGAAATATAAAGAAATGGAATTTATTCCTACAAGAATATTATAATAAATGTACTTTTTTGCACTCATATTTTACTGATTTACACCGACTACTGAGCCCTTTTACTGCAAGTGTAGCACAATAGGCTACCATTGTTTCCATTCTCATCTACTGCAGCAAAATCAACGCCATTCTCGATCAGGACAGAGCAGATTGTGGAAAGATCCTGTTGTGCAGCGAGATGCAGCGCTGTCTGACGATGCTTGGTCAACTCATTTACTTTAGCACCAGCCAAGAGCTGTAATCCACACACACATCAGAGAAAACACAAATATATGACTTGAAAATAATAGAATAAAATAAAAAATAAAATGAAATAATTATCTTTACTTTACCAGATTTCTGACAATTATCTCTGATCCCGCCTGTACGGCCAGGTGTAGAGGAGAAAGTTTGGCACTGTCCTGCACTCTGGAGTTCACGTTGGCCTGTACACTAATGAGAAAGAGCACACTCTCTATGTCTGAGTTCTGCACGGCAACATGCAGGAAGTTGCGACCTTTGTTGTCCACCTAGACAAAGCGAGAGAACATTTATCCAGTGGCTTGTGACAGCACACATATAGAAACAATGTGGAGTAATTTCATCTTTGTCTGTGAGTATAATAAGGCCCACGCACCTGTTCAGCAGCGCCAGGCTCTCTCTTGAGGATGGCTTCGGCAGCCTTATTGTTCTTATGGGTCATGGCACAGGCAAATGGTGTCATGCCTTGTCTGTCTCGAATATTCAACCGGATTTCTGGGTGGGAGATGAGCAGCTGGATGATGACACTTTGCTGGTTGCTGATGGAGACATGGATGGGAGCACGACCCTCTGAATCCTGCTAACAGAGAAATGGATACTGCGGCTATAAGGGCATTTTAAACTGTGTGTACATGGAACATATCTGCATAAAGCACTTGTTAAATTGCGTTGTCATCTACAGAAAAAGAGAGAAGAACTAGAATGAATGTATGCATTTGTATGAACCTGTGCATTCACATTGGCTCCGAACTCCAAAAGGCACTGTGCCACCTCCTCCAGACCCCAGGATGCAGCCAGATGCAGTGGGCTCTGTCCATCTCTCGCCACCTCATCTCCCTCACCATTAGGACCAGGCCTCCTCGGGCTGTTCACATCACAGCCACTGAAAACACATGTTGAGATCAGTGACATGGAAGTTAAACTTTTACTTCAAAAGTCACTTTTTGGAATGTCTGTTCAATTATTATTACGTTACGTTCATTTATATATGTAAGTGATTATTTGGAAATAATTTGATCATTTTAACCAGCATAACATGCAATTAATCTGATTATAGTTTTGACTGATAAACAATTCTGCTATATATATATATATGCACACACACACACACACACAGTGGCGTGAAAAAGTGTTGGCCCCCTTCCTGATTTCTTATTTTTTTGCATGTTTGTCACACTTTAATATTTCAGATCATCAAACAAATTTAAATATTAGTAAAAGATAACACAAGTGAACACAACATGCAGTTTTTAAATGAATGTTTTTATTATTAAGGGAAAACAAAATCCAAAACTACATGGCCCTGTGTGAAGAAGTGTTTGCCCCCTAAACCTAATAACTGGATGGGCCACCCTTAGCAGCAACAACTGCAATCAAGCGTTTGCGAAAACTTGCAATGGAGTCTGTTATAGCGCTGTGGAGGAGTTTTGGTCCACTCATCTATGCAGAATTGTTGTAATTCAGCCGGCCTAGATTTAGCATCTTACTTCAGGTGATTGCGTTTAGACTTCAGAATCCATCCCAGTTGTTCATTTGTGAAGTCTCAGAACTTATTTTCTGCAATAATCCAAATGTCAGTGGGAAAAAAATCCTATTGGGTTTCTGTCAAGGAAACCAGGGTGCTGTTAACTTCTGTGTTGTACTACAAAAATATGTCATCATTGCAGTGCTTCAGGCTGAGACTAAGACTGGCCCTTTACACAAGGTTTTAAATGCTAGTGTATATATATATATATATATATATATATATATATATATATATATATATATATATATATACACTAGCATTTAAAACCTTGTGTAAAGGGCCAGTCTTAGTCTCAGCCTGAAGCACTGCAATGATGACATATTTTTGTAGTACAACACAGAAGTTAACAGCACCCTGGTTTCCTTGACAGAAACCCAATAGGATTTTTTTCCCACTGACATTTGGATTATTGCAGAAAATAAGTTCTGAGACTTCACAAATGAACAACTGGGATGGATTCTGAAGTCTAAACGCAATCACCTGAAGTAAGATGCTAAATCTAGGCCAGGGGCGGATTGGCCATCTGGCAAATGCCAGAGGGGCCGGACCATTTTGTTTAATGTGGGCCGGTCAGATTTTTTCTAAATATATATATATATATATATATATATAAATAAAATTGTTTTAACGGGCCAACAGCACATAGGTCAGGTTTTTATCGCTTGCACGATTTCTCTATGGTTATAATAATAATAATGTTAATAATAAATAAATGTTAAGCATTTAGCCCAGTCGACCGAACTGTTCAGTCAAAATCAAGCACGTCATCAGAGAGATTGCAACACGAGCTAATTTTCAGTAAAAGCTAGATAATGGACCGTAAAAAAGGAAAGGCGGTGCAGAAAAACTTTGAGAAAGGAAAAAAAAGGGCTCAAGTCTGACGCTGCTAAATGCGTAAAATTAACCGAACTCTTTTAAAAAGGTTTAAATTTGGCTGCTGCAGCTGAGGACAGTTAGTGCCGCAGAGGTAAGATGAAAACAGAAAATACAGCTAGCACAAATCATTTTCACACTACTTCTGCCAGTTAGCGCCGGTTTTATTTATTTTATTTTTTTTTGACAGTAGCCTACATTGTATAAAAACAGTTGTAAGCTTAGCGTAAGAACCCCAGTATATTTTAAAATGTCATTGCTTCGTGATAATTGGTTAACTGGTTTGTGCTAACGAGCCTGTTACTGAATTGAATGACTGAAAAATCAGCAGATAAAGTGGGATTTAGGGTAAAAACTGATGTAGGCTACTTGCAACACATCAAAAACCTATAGCAATAGCCATAGTACTATAGACATTTGTAGTGAACTTTTCTTTTAATATGTAGATAGTCATATATTAAAATAAAACATTTAACACACATACAGTACATAAGTTTTCAGTATGCAATAAATCCTTAGGTAGAGTGGACTGCAGAGTCAAGTGTCATGGAGGTAGGAAGACAATGAGAGGGACACACCCTGATACAGATGCTGCCAGTTTCTTAATAATGCGGCTCTAATTAACTATTTATTAACTCTTAGGATAGGAGGAACCTGTGCCTGTGTCACACACACACACACACACACACACACACACACACACAGAGAGAGAGAGAGAGAGAGAGATCACACTCACACACAAATGCACATGCAGCACATACTAGCAACACTTCAGCATACTTTAATTCACAAATAATTGTATATCAAAAAGGATTTAATGCTGCTACTATTTATAGTTTTTGCTACATATTCTATTCCCTTTTTTGCTATTATTACTTGTTTGTATTCATGTGTATTTCAATGTTGAGAGCAGTCAGTGAGAAAATATTTTGTTGTAATGTTTAAGTCCTATACTGTGTTCATTAACTAGGATGTTGCTGGAATCAGTACAGCCAGAGACCCCTGGTCTTCCAACACCAGTGCTGTGAGGAAGGATGCTACGGTAGGTCTAGCAGAGACAGGGAGGAGTATGGTAGAGGTAGAAAAAACCCAACAGACAGACAGTGACAACAAAGAACAACATACTGTAGTGAATGACAGTAACAGCAGACAAATGGCATAAACAGACAGCACACAAACTCTACAACATCCTCAGATTATTTTTCTTTTGTTTTTACTATATGTGTAAATTTGTTATAAACGTGTGCTCTTTAAAAAGTAATAAGCATTGTTTGCCAGACACATACATTAAATGTTTAAATATCTGTTACATATATGGTACTGCTTATATTATTTCACCATCTGCACACAAACGTAAGTAGTGAATGTGTGGGTGGGGCTGTGTCAGTGTGGTAATATGGGCCGGTGTGGCTACAGCACCAGGGCTGCATTTCTGTCCCAGTCCGCCCCTGATCTAGGCTATATACAAACTACACCACAACGAACTACACCACAACTTCAATGATTACTAAGCTTCCATCAACTCTTTTGGTCTTTATTAAAAAACATCTTCTCTGAAAGTTTGGGTTAGAATAATTAGCAATTATAAACATAAGGCAGTGAAAGCAGACTAGTGAGTAGATGGTTTTTTCTGTACAGTGTGATGATGTTTAAGGTAATCAGCAACAAATGTAGTCCCTTTATTATGACAATTAAAAGCTTTAAAAAAAATCACAAGGGGGTATTATTTTGTAGAATAAAACGTGAAAATATGTGTTAAGCACAGAACTTATTTCAGGCATTTCACCAAAAATCTATCTCAAAAATTGACTTCAGGACGATGGAAACGGAAGTGCTAAAATGCTAACTTATTTCAGGATTTTGGCCTACAAAAATATGTCATCCTGCAGCACTCTATAGGAATGAAGCTAATGAAGCACGACCAATCAGTTAAGTGTTTTGCAAATGTCAACTTGATGGCCTGTCATGCTCATTTTTTACAATGCAAATTCTGCTCAGAAGCAAGATAAATTAAGGAGAGGTTTTGCAAACCTGCGTATAAGGAAGCAGGCAGTGATCTCGTTGTTCTCATCGATGGCTCTGTGGAGAAGAGTCTGATGACATCCTCCAGGCCCTGAACTCCAACAGGTTGCATCACACCCGTGCCTGACCTAATCCAAAAATGAACAACAAGTCAAATCAACTCATCATAGACAAGCATTATTTTTTAACCAAAATATGGAAACTAAATGTTTCAAGATCAACAATATATTAAATGAAGTTAAAACGCTCCAAATTGGTAAATGGAAAAATGTTCTCACCAATGTGGAAGCTATGTCCTCCAAACCATTTTCTAGAGCCAGCCAGAGTGGAGGATCACCCTTCTCATCCACCACTGACATGTCTGCTCCTCTTGTGCAGATGGCGTCCACTACTAAAGGAAGCTGGTTACTGATGGCCAACTGTAAAGCCGTCTGCCCCTCCTGGGTCCTGGAACGATGCATGATTTGTAGTTTGAGGATCTGTTATGTGTGTCAACTCTTTCAGTAATAGCTATTTTGGGGGAAACCGAGGGGGGATGGGATTGAGACACACTGCAGGCAGGACTCAAACCATCATTGCTGACATTAACAGCACAGCTCAACATGTCTGGGGGATGTATGCTAACCAACGTTTTATAGCACTTTCAGGTAGGTGCAGTACCTGACGTTGATGTCAGCCTGGTGCTCCAGCAGGAAGAGGGCGCTCTTGCTGTCCTGTCTCTTTATGGCCATGTGCAGTAGCGTCTGTCCATCAGACATGGTGTCATTAATGGCTGCTCCAGAACCCAGCAGCTGTGCGGCGATAGTGTGCATACCTAGTGATGTAAATAAGAAAATAATGTGAAAAACTGAATGATCTGCATGAGCAGTGAACCCACAGGAGGAGATTTTTTAACAGAACCCACCAGTCCAGAGTGCGAGACCCAGAACGGTCTGATCCATTGAGTCTTTCAAACTGAAGTCAGGGATGATCTGCAGGTTGTTGGTGGCATGTAGTGCATTGGCTATGACAGATGGAGCAGAAATGAAGTTATGAGTGACATAAGATGGCATGGCTGCATAGATCAGCACTCAAATCCAACATCCTCGCACATCCCTCACCTTTCTGCTCTAGTATGACAGACACTACATCTGGATGGTTGTGAATGATGGCCAGGTGGAGCGGACTTTGCAAGGAGACTCCTTGGCTTTTCTCGACTCCATCAGGCAGAGTGCTGTCAGTCTGCAGGTTAGGATTCGCCCCCTGCTGGAGCAACTCTGCTGTTAGCCCTGCCAAGCCATATCGGCAAGCCGTATGGAGTGGGGTCTCACCCTAAAAAAGAAAATTTGATCATAATATATATAATCATCATAATAATTATATATATTATATTATATAATACATATTTAATTTATAATAATCCACCCCTACTAATTTACTATTACTCTATTATTGAGTACTATACTTACTATTATTATTGTGTTTATTCATGTATGTGACACTGGACCACAAAACCAGTCTTAAGTCACTGGGGTAAATTTGTAGCAATAGCCAAAAATACATTGTATGGGTCAAAGTTATCGATATTTCTTTTATGCAAAAAAATCATTATGATATTAAGTAAAGATCATGTACCATGAAGATATTTAGTAAATTTCCTACCGTAAATATATCAAAAATGTATTATCATTAGTAATATGCATTGCTAAGGACTTTATTTGGACATATTTTATAGGGATTTTCTCAATATTTTGATTTTTTTTGCACCCTAAGATTCCAGATTTTCAAATAGTTGTATCTCAGGCAAATATTGTCCTAATATATATATATATATATATACATATCCTAACAAACCATACATCAATAGAAAGCTTATTTATTCAGCTTTCAGATGTATATAAATCTCAATTTCAAAAAATTGGTTTTGTGGTCCAGGGTCACATTTATCAAATGTATATATACACACCACCATTCAAATGTTTTTCAAGTCTCTAATGCTCACCAAGGCTGCATTTATTTGATAAAAAATACAGTAAAAAGTCATATTTCAGAATTTTATTACAAATTAAAATAACTGTTTTCTATGTAAAATGTAATTTATTCCTATGATGGCAAAGCTGAATTTCAGCAGCAATTACTCCAGTCGTCAATGTCACATGATCCTTGGTGCTCAAGAAACATTTTTTGTTTTTTACAATGTTGAGAACAGTTGAACAATCTGAAGCTCAAAATAAAATTTATTTGAATTTGAAATCTTTTGTTACATTAAAAATGTCTTTACTGTCACTTTTTAATCAATTTAATGCATCCTTGCTGAAAAAAAAAAAAAAAAAAGTAATTTCTTTCCAAATAAAAAAATCTTACTGAGCTCAAACTTCTGAACAGTAATTTGTATGTATGTATGCATGTATGTGAATATATATACAGTGGGTACGGAAAGTATTCAGACCCTCTTAAATTTTTCACTCTTTGTTATATTGCAGCCATTTGCTAAAATCATTTAAGTTAATTTTTTTTCCTCATTAATGTACACACAGCACACCATATTGACAGAAAAACACAGAATTGTTGACATTTTTGCAGATTTATTAAAAAAGAAAAACTGAAATATCACATGGTCCTAAGTATTCAGACCCTTTGCTCAGTATTTAGTAGAAGCACCCTTTTGATCTAATACAGCCATGAGTCTTTTTGGGAAAGATGCAACAAGTTGTTCACACCTGGATTTGGGGATCCTCTGCCATCCCTCCTTGCAGATCCTCTCCAGTTCGGTCAGGTTGGATGGTAACTCAAATAATTTTACTCCAGACTGCTTTCTGAACAAGGGACAATTCAAGGCAGGTTTTGTTAAAAAGTTAAAACTCAAGGATGGATCAGTACCCATTGTTCATGATCCAGCTGCACCTCCAGAAGAAGTAAGTCTTACACTTTTTATTTATGTTATGTTTGCCTTTAAGCATTTATCGGCCGATACCGATATGGTGGCCGATATATCGTGCATCCCTACCTTTAATGTGATAGGACAGATCAGACATGACAGGAAGTGAAGTGAGAGAGAGAGGAGGGGGGCGGGATCAGGAAAGGTCCTCGAGTTGAGATTCGAACACGGGACATCCAAAGCGCAATGGCGCTGCATGTCGACGCACTGCCCACAAGGCTATCGGTGCCAACACACTTTTTATTTTTTATGATTATTTGCGAATCGTGTTTGCTCTTCCACAGAAGAGAGGGGCGGGGAAAATGGGCATCCGATGTCCCCTTTGAAGCACAGCCACCACAAAATCAGACTTACTTTAAAATCATTCTGTGGTTAAATACATATTTAAAATCATAAGAAATAGTTTAATAGCTATGTCATGATACTGTTTTTGAAATCAAATCTTTGCATAGCTATGACAGGAAACACTGGAATCTAACAATGCTTTAGAAAAAAATAGTCAATCTTAAAAAAAATAAAGCATATACATAAACCCTATCGGATAAGCATGTTATAAACTTCTGAAACATTGGTGTTTACTATTTTAGAGCAGTCACTGCAATTTATGAAAGACCTCAATTAAATCTGTATGTGGGAGTGTGTGTGAAAAAAGCAGATGTAACCCCCTTTGTAATCCTTAACATTTTCATAAGTAACTGTAATTTAATTACACATTTTTTCTTAGTAACTGTAACCGATTACAATTACTTTTATTTTGTAATTAAATTACGTAATTCCGTTACATGTAACTAGTTACTCCCCAACACTGTATATATTAGGGCTGCCACTAATTTTTATTTAGATTAATCTATCGACTAATTTATCGATTAATCTAAACGATTAATTTCCCACAAAAAAATCAACAATTTTAAAGAACATTTTATTAAACTTGCAACTTTGCCATTCAGTAGAGTACCATAAAAAAGTATAAATGTAAACAAGTCATTGACGAAATGTAAAACTAAAAGAGTAAAAATATAAACAAACCTAATAAAAATGAAATAAAAATAAAATAATAACAAAAGTCTGAGAAAGTCAGCATGTTCTTAATGTCAATATATCCACATGTTCTGGGCATTAAAGCTGTGAGTGCAACTACAAAGGGGGAAAAAATCTGTTTCAATTAACCCCAACAGTTGAGTCCACTAGAATGAAGTATTAAAATTTTAAGTATTAAAAGTACTCTTAGAAATGTGTAAACAACAGTTTTAAACAGACATCTCCAGCATGATGAAAAAAATGAACAGAGGGCTTCAGTAGTGAAACTCCAAATGAAATCTAAATTTCTATGAAATCCTTTTTTAAAGCAAAAGTAAAGTGCAACATAGAGTGCAAGCAGCAAGTGTCCATCTCATAGTCCAAATCATTGAAATCAAAGTTCAGTATTATAGTGTAAGAATGACATGTCCACGTGTTTTGTGGTAATAAAAATAGATGTAGGTTAAGTGAACAATAGCCTTTAAATTTACTTAATACATATATACAGGGTTTCTGCAGATTTTAACAAGTTAAATTTAAGACTTTTTAAGACCTTTTTAATACCACCTTATATGAAATTTAAGACCTAAACCTGTAATGGAAATACACATTTTATTACATACATATATGTAATATTTAATGTTTATAAATTAAAAAGAAAACAAAGTATCAATGCTGTAATAAATGGTATTTATTACTATGATATACAGTGAACTTTTAATGTCAGCAGACAATATTCCATATAAAATATCCCCACAAAATCACTGCATCACTGAGATTTTTGGTGGAGTAAACAATTTATTCTGAAGCAATATTTTCATCAGTGTTCTATCAGCTTTTACATACTTAAATCCGCATATTTACCTTTACAAAGGCCTATTTTTAACCTTTTTAGATGTATGCATC